AATTCTGAGATATTCTTTAAACTCTTTGTCCAAACATCCCCTAATGCTGCCAAATTTGTATCTGCCTCTATTGAAGTTCCTAGTTCATTATCCACAATATAAACTTATTTAATTTAACTTAAACCTATCCTAACAATTTTAAAATTATGTAGAAATTTAATTTTTAGGACCAGCCTTAAACCTACTCCTTATTTTAAAATATTAATATATTTATATTCTTGTCCACTAAACTGCCTGCAGCTTTATATGAAAAAAAATTAAACTAGAATGCCTTTAAATACCTTTAAATTTGTATTTAACTAAGCACAAAACTATGCAAATTTTAAACAGTTTTAACAAAGTTAAAAGAGGTAAATTTAATATATTTAAAATTAACTAGCTAGAACCTACTTGTTTATTTTGATAGGAAATGAACCGACCACAACAAAGGAAGCAGAAATTATTACAAACGGCAGAAACAGCGGTAAAATTATTTCTTTTTATGCTTTTGGCAACTAACAGAGCTGGGGCGAAAAAAACCCGGTTTAGGTTGGTTTTCTTTCGCGCCAAAACATTTTCAAGCCATTCTTCGCTCCTCGCCTGTTCAACACCAATTATTTCGTCCGTTTTCGCTTCGATTTCGATATACTTCGTCCACAATACACTTCAATGTAATACAAACACATTACTTATATTTAAACTTTAATACTCTGGAAAAAATGTACTTTAATAAAGCAATTTCTCTCGCATGCAAAATGCTCGCTTCGCGGCGGCCATTTCGCGTGCAAGTGAAGCCTACCACATTTCCCATGATGCTTAGCTATAATGGGAATTGCCTATTGATGTTAATAAAATGCTTTATTCAAAGTAAATGCTTTATATAAAGTAAATACTTAAGGAATGTTGCAACATTCTCATGTCACCAATACGCATAAAATGAGAGCGTGGGGCGAAGTTTGAAGTATGCTGCTTTTACTGCAATGCCATATATGACACTTTAAGACATATAATAATTTGTATATGCCTCCTTACAGTCTTACGGCATATTATTCTAACTTCTTCTATAACCCGAGAACCAAGACCACACTTATGGTACTAAGTCATGTACCAATGACTGATCACCATTTCAATAAACCCATTCACACAGGCCAGCATCTAAAAAATACAAAAACAATCTGTAGAAAATGATTTTGTGTAATAATAATAATAATATTTAATATTTATATTGCGCAAATTAACCTGTTATAGTGTATGATCAAATGCGCATGGAAGAATGGAAGGATGGGTATATCCAAGGTTTCCATTGGCAAATGTCTTTGTGCAAGTGAGTCAAAAAATAACTTTATCAATACGATTAGTTAATGGAAACCTAAAGTTGACAACTTAACAACTTTGTACGAGATCTTGTTCCAGCTGCATTCCAGCGATTAATGTTCTTTTCCCAAATGTTCTTTTTCCGAATGTTCATTCCCTGAATATTATTTTTCCGAATGCTCTTTCTCTCAATGTTCTTTTCTGAATGCTCTTTTTCTGAATGTACTTTTTCCGAATGCTCTTTCTCTGAATGACCTTTTCCCATTTGTTCTTCATCTTCTTTCAGGTCCTAAAGTTGATTTCCTATAACGGTTGTTTAATTATCATGAGAGGTGATAATACAGCACACTATAATTTTATGCACTGAAAAACTGTCTTACTGCACATTTCCAATCAAAATCCATCGTCAATCCTTTGGCTTCCATTAGATAATCTGCACATTTATTCAGGTATTCAACTTGGTTTACTTCTAAAGAATAATCAACAACAGGTATTAAGGTTATGATAAATTCCTTACAGGAAGGAAAGTAGAATAGGTCTTAAAATGTTGATTGGCTCAATACCAGTGTCTAGGGATTACCCATGAGAATGTCGTATTCCATTTAATCTTCCTCCATTGCTTAAATGGATGGTTCTAGAAGAGGTGGTTCAACCACATGTCTGTGAAGTCGATGACGCACTGCAACATGATTTTGTGCTGGCAAGAAGCAACGTCCTGCTGTGAAAATTGAAGAGTCCTCTCGTCTATTAGCTGTGAGCCTGCATCAGTGTCGTTTGGGACTTCGATGGCTTCGTTAAAACTCGGCATGGCATCATAAAACTCTCTGAAACGCTCATTGCTTGTCCAGTAGTAGAATGGCAAATCTTTGTCGATCCGATTACAATATTCTCTGAGGTTGAAAAAATACAAACAAGAGTTATCAAGATGGGCTTGTAAATCACAGACTGTATGCTGTATTTAAATCTAATTAAATTAAGGTTCTCCTTAAGGTCCGTGAGCAATAATCCATAATCCCGATTTACATTTTTGGAAGGACAACCTTAATTGAGTTAGCTGTATATAATGTACATCCAAGTTAATTGACACTGCTCCGTGTCAAAGGATATATGTGGGTTAATTCCAAAAGATAGGCATTTTAATGTGCTTTCACAAAATAAGTATCTATACAGGGTGTATAAAAAAAACTGAACAGATTTGAAATTGCTCTCAATTTCGCAAAACAACTATTTGTATCCGTTTTTTTATAGATATAGCTTTTTTGGGTATTTATAATGTAGAATAATGAAAAAAATTTCTTGAACTCAAATTTTGTGAACCAGGGGGGTGTGTCTTTTCCAACAAACTAAAAATGGCTCGCGCACAAAATTTAAAAGTTGTAATCTCATTTTGAGTTAATAGATGGAATATTTGTCGGGTTTTTAATTACTGTACAAAATTTCAGACAATTTGGTTTAGTTTAAGCCGTTTAACTATTCACGCAAAGTTACATTTTTCCTAAAAATCAGCTATTTGCATGCTTAACTAATGCCTTTGCCTAATTTGCATATGTTAGCAATATGCAAATTAGGTAAAGGCATTAATTAAGCATGCGAAAGGCTGATTTTTTAGAATAAAATGAATAGTTAAACGGCTTAAACTAAACCAAATTGTCTGAAATTTTGTACAGTAATTAAAAACCAAACAAAGTTTCCATCTATTAACTCAAAACGTTTAAATTTTGTGCGCGAGCCATTTTTAATTTGTTGGAAAAGACACACCCCCCTGGTTCACAAAATTGGAGTTTGAGAATTTTTTTTCATTATTCTACATTATAAGTACCCAAAGAAGCTATATATATAAAAAACCGGATACAAATAGGTGTTTTGCGAAATTGAGAGCAATTTCAAATCTGTTCAGTTTTTTTTTTATACACCCTGTATAGCTACAAACAATACAACAACATTAGAATCTGCATTCAGTACCTCACAACCTTCATCCACAATGACTTCATATCTTTCTTTGTAAAGATTTTGCCAAGAAATCGGTATAGTAAAGAAATTAATGCCTCTACATCATCTGCAGTGCCAGCTCTGGGATGCTCGGGATATCCAATCCTTTCACTTTCTCTTCCGCGCGGTATTTAATGCTTTCGATGTTAGTTGTTACAGCAATAACTGTCTCTCTTGAGAATCCACAGATTCCTTTAATTGATCTAAATTGTTAAATACATGGGTATTTTAGGTTTTGATACTTGGGTTGGAGATCCTCACAAATTTCAGGGGTTTTTTATTTGGGGGTAATTCCCCTCTAACACATTATATGTCACAAGGGCCTGGAGGCAGCAAATGAATTCCGAAAACTCAAAAGTTTCAAAATCATCACAAATGTTCTAAAAACAGTCATGCTCCATTTTGGGAGGAAATGCTTTCCCAAAATTTACCTTTTGGGAGGGGATGGGGATTCCTCCCCAATGAAATAATAAAAATACATAAATGCGATGAACAATAATATATAACATGGTCCTACTTAGCGCCTTTGCAGGAAAATTATCTAGCTTTCAACAGGTTTAAAATAAAGGTGCACCGGAAACAATTGTTTAAGTTCAGGAACTGATTTATTAAACCATATATGACGGGCAGACACTTCGAGTCATCAAGGATCTTTTTATTCTAACATTTGCGACCTCTCTTACTTAACGTCATAATGAAGCGTTAACGGAGTATATTTTCCTTGTGTAGTCCAAATTAAAGTGAATTTCTGTTCGACACAAACGTTTGATATTCTATCTATATGAAAATATCAGAGTTCCGGTTCCGGCCATGCTTGATTTATTAATTCGACCAAAACTCTCACAAATCGGAGTTCCACCCGGAACTAACCAGCTGGAACCGAGTTCCGGTGCATTCCTATTTTAAAGAACATATAATTAAAATAATTAAGTAGCTCACATAGTAGTGGGGTGCGCTGCTAAAATCAAGGCGCGTCTGGATGAATGATTGTTATCTTTTGTAAATACCTGTTAATGTCGATAGTAGCAAAACTGGGTGTAGTTTTACGCCAAGGCATCCAATGATCCAGGATCATGTTGAGCATAGCATAGTTCTTCCTGCATCGCTCAAGTACAGAAAGACCTCTACCATCTGCGGCCTCATGCCATCCTGCAACAACTCTGATGTATTCTCCTTCATTTGTGTATCCTTTCTCTGTGAGGAACTTGGCAACAAGGTACGATAACATTCTTTCTGCATCCACAACCCCATTGTTTTCTCTCACCAGTTAGGGCTGCCATAGTCAACCCAGTTGCTGGGTCTAACATTGCATCGTCAAAGCCCTGTAAGTTGGTTTCTGGTGGTTCTTCCTTTCTTGTGTGCTTCCAGATTCTTTCAGTATATGGCAGTGGTTTTCTCTTCCGTGGAATGCCTCACCAGACTCCGCATCAATCTCTGGGATGTAAAGATAAGTTGAAAAGTCTACACCCTCAGACATATACTTAGAGACAGTAGTCCTAAATCGATATGTTGCAACAATGGATTTGAGCATATCTTCCAGGCATTCTGGAACTCCATTTCGGAATGGATAAGGTTCATATCCTTCTGGAACTAAGGACATGCTAATGGCCTTGAGTCTTGACAGCATCAAATAAGCTCAGTTGACCACCAGTTGCATCCAGTATGAAAACTCTATATATTATAAACATAACATACAAACCAATAGCAAGCATTCCAAGTTTAGCCATATCCTGCCTGATATTCTTGGTCAATTCTCGTACATCCTGGTCCTTCAGAGAATGGTATGGCACATACTGGATAGGAAGACAATAAGGTTTCTTGTTACGGCATTTATCAGATAGTAGGAAAATGAATACGTGTGTTGCCGCAGGTTGTCTGCCCTTGATGAACAAATTCCTGAGGTACTGCTCCCAGTCAGACGTCTTCTCAACCATGCTCTTTTGTACATGTAACACTTGATTATGTTGACCAACAGAGACTTTCGAAGTTTTCAAGTAAGATTGAAAAGATTGGCATTGCTGTACAAGTTCGCTATATTCAACTCTTTCCCATGAAAGTTCCATGAGAACCTTTTTCGATGGGTTTGGAGCTTTACATATTTATCAGCGTATGTTTTTGTTGACTTTATTAAACCTTCAGTTAAAAACTTCTTGTCAGTCTCAAGATTGGCTGCAACTTTGTCAAAATCCAATAACACTCTCTCAACGTTGTCCTGTGGAGATACCAAATTCCTAATATCCTTCATTCTTTCTTCATGCTCAGTTGACAATTTGTTCGCCAAAAACCGAAAATTTGAAACACTTTTGTTTTACAACTCGAAGTCGAAGTGAAAGAAATGGTCTTAGAACTGGTATATCTCGCAGAAAAGCTCAGATATATTATACAGTTGTTTGGTAGTACAGTAAGTGCTTGTTGACTGCAAATTCATTTGTCTCTCGTTGCAAACATTCTGAAAAATTTATGTTCTCAATAAACATGTTTTTTCGCTGTTGTTTCGGTATTAAGTCTTTAAAAACTTGTAGTTAAACTAATTTCTATGTAATAAATGTATTCTGCTAACCTGTTAAATTTTTTTGAGAGCTTTTCCTTGTACTATTATCTTTCTCAAAGCGAATGTTTCCTTTTTTCTGCTTCGCAAAACTCATGTAGTTTTTGGACCGCCATCTTGTTTTTCGCTACTCGCCGTATATGAGCTGATATACGGCGAGTAATTCAACCAATCAGATTGCAAAACAGCTCATATACGGTGAATGACTATATTATAAATATATGTAGAGATATATAAACACGGCTCTTAGCCAATCAGCGTTCGGAATTTACAAATGCTATATTATAAATATATATATATATATATATATATATATATATATATATAATATCTTTTGGAAGCTAAAAGTAGAGCTTGGACGGTTGAAGTTTACACTCTTGACACTAGCTGTCACAGCATTATAATTATTCACGGCAACGCGAGTGAGTTGAGAACCACTGTCAATGTTTTCATGGTTTATTTTTCTAATGTAAGTATACAAAAATCCATTTCTCATTACTCAGAATATAAAACACCATTTGGAACCCAATTATAAATATTATAACAATTCTTAATTTGCTATTAAGTGATATTATAAAACAAATTTATATCTATCAATTACATAGTTCGAGCTGTAGTAAACAAAAGGGAAATCCCACTTACGGGGGGTTGGTCCAGTTCATTAGTATACCTAACTTATGCGAGCCCTCCAGAGAAAACTAAAAGCGCTGAAGACAAGCCTATTTTTTAAATAATGTGTAATTTTTCAGGGAAAAATAAAAAATAATATTTAAAGGATATATTAATTTTTTGGCTGAGATAGAGCGTTTTTAGTATGCACACTTGTCGACTGACCTGTGGTAAGTGTCAATTAATATGTGGCGGTTCGACGACTCGTCTTGTGCAAGCTGTTCAGTCAAAATTTAAATCGGTATAAGCTTAAAAATAATCTCATATGATGCGAATATTATGGATAATGAATATAAAATAATATTATGACGGTAAAGTAACTTGTGGCGGAGAACGGTCGTTTTAAATCGCTAAGCGGCACCCGTGTTTGCAGTCTCCATCAATATGTCGCTGTTCGGTGACATAACTTATGCGAGCCGTCCAGAGAAAACTAAAAGCGCTACAAACAAGCCGAATGCTTTGGGTGATGTGGAAATTATCAGTGAAGAACGAAAAAAAAATTATTATAGCGTTACATTTTTTCCTTACGACGATACAGCGATTTAGATAGGAACTAACCGTGTCTTCCTCAAGATTTAATTGACCCGACACGGTTTGGCGACTTGCTTATGCAAGCTGTTTAGAGAATCTAGAAGCAGTAGCGAGTCAGTGATTGCGTTATATGATAGTCCTTTTCTTGAAGAAGAATGAAAAAATTATTGTTAGGATGGGTGAAGGCTTTGTGGAGTTAGAGCCATTCGAATACGAACGCCATGCCTGTGGCTCCAGATTCAATCTGAAATTGGAGGTGCGAATCTGAAACTGGAGCTGCCTGGCTTCTCGTTAAGTGAGCCCTCCGTTCAGCAGCCACGAAATTACGAACAAGAAAGAAGCAGGATTACTGTCAAACAAGCACAGAAGATAGGTAAATGAAGTTTTATTTATCAACATAATTATTGAAATTATGACATGCTTTACCGTACCCGAGTTTACTATCAGTGAACATGCAAGTAAGCGACTTACTAAAACGACTAATTTATTAATTTATAGATTCTGAAGGAGCACAGCTGATAGAAACTTTGTGTGGATGGTTTATGGACAACTAGGAAATAGACATTCTAGCTTGCGCCGATATGAGAAAATAATGCCTGCTATTGATGAAGACTTTGTAGGATTTGTAGAGGACAGCTCTTGATATTATATAATTATTTTTCAGTAAATAAACCTATTACACTGTATAAGCGTAGTAACATTATACTGTATTGCGTATAGAAACAGCACATTTGCTATATTCATGACTTCAATATTGTTTTGCGAGTGAAATTTGAGATTAAGATTTGTCAATCTGATGCTTTCCTGCACTTCGTGCGCGCGGGTTAATTTGTGCAAAGTGTTGCAGCGCATTTAGGAATTTTTCTGACTTGTATTTCGTTCCAGACACTGCCTTTTACTAGCAAATGTGGCAATGACTAAGTTGTTTCATTAAGTTGCATCAATGGATTATACTTTGTAATACATTTTCTACACACCCCCACAGTGTATCTGGTTTCATGCCACAATTTGTTACATAATTTACTGCGTCAAGTTTACTTGTACAATTCTACTTTACCTGTCTAATCTAAAATACAAGCAGTACACATTGCTTTTAGACGTAAGAAATTGGCTTTCATCCGCTATATTTTGACCATATTCACTCATAGCTATATTGGGCCAATGAAAATTGATATCATGTTTCTCGTCCCCGCCCGCATGGGATTTATCTGCCGCACGAAAACTTTTCATTATTCCTTATTTTTGAAAAAAGGCTTAAAAAACACCAAATTCATCTCCAGATCAAAGTCTTATTCCTGCATTCCGCAAGCACAACTGCAATTGTATCTTTCTAAAGATATTACTCGCCAGAATGCCTCGATCTATTTATCATGTCAGCCCTGGTATGTGCAGAAATATACTGTAGTCTGTAGGCTGTAGTGCAGGACGTATTAAATTGAAATGAATTATACACCAATTTTTAATACTTCAGATTTTTATGGGGTTTTTTTACTGTGTCAAGGAAATTATTGACAAGCAGAATTCAAATACAAAAATAATGAAAAATGAAAAAATTCCGCTCCAAATTTTTGAAACTTGTGGACGAGAAACATGATATCAATTTTCATTGGCCTTGTCGCGATATTTTATATTCTGGTGAACCATTGACTGTGGCTGTGGCTCATTTATATTTATCGCACTTTCAGTTTCAAGTTTCGTGAATATGACCATATATCGGTTGAGTGCATCGAAGCAGATTCTTAATACAACCTATTTAAATAATGAATTTGGAATAAAAATTGCACCATATGATAAACGAAGTTAGAGTAACAATATTAGTGAGCTGGATGGGTCCCTACTATTACGTTACACGCATTGTTTCGCCCCAGTCTCTTTTCCGCGGTTTTCAGATTTTTCGCAAGGCCAAATTCAATGTTTAAACGGCAATAACTTTTACACTAAAAAAGCGATTTCGATTCTGTTTTCGAATTTCCGTATATTTTGTATCATAGACTTCGAAAATATAAACTCTTATTTTATGACAGGGAGACTTTAAATTTATTAAAAACATCTGGTTCTCCTTCGACAAAACTCGTATTTATGCCTTTCACACTTTTTTAATTCACGGTTGACAACCGCACTAATTCATGAAACTGCAGGCTTGTTTCCAGTTGAAAGCGTAACACATCGCAAAAATATGTTGTAAAACGGCAAAATTGCAACTGAAATACATCTTTGAAAAATGAAAAAGTTTTTTTGCGCGAGCTTGTACTCGCGCATGCGCATAACATCGAAAACCGTCCATCACAATAATGTACGACAAGTTTGCACTTCGCTTTGTTCTCAAATACCCTTGTGTAAATAGCTAGCCGAGCGGGATATGAACTCTCACCCCGAGCTTACGCCCGGAACTACGTATAAGTATAACTGCACCACAGTGAAAAAACCTGCATGTGTCTGATAAAAGGACCCATGTTTGTAAAAATGAGATGGCACTACCTCAATGGCGACTATTAAATGCGGGTTTAAAGGAAAAACATTACTGCAGAAATCTATCTCGTAATTGAATTGCAAAATTCCGAAAAGCAAAATTTTAGAAATTTTAGCTGTTTGTCGAACAAGTTGTGATAAACTATTGTTGTACACATAATAAATTGAGATTTTGCAATGATTACAACTAAATTGATTGGCATTGGATTGGGAAGAATCGTTCTAAACACTTTACATATAAAGGCATTAGAGTCAGCACATGACAAAACGAAGTCAACATGTATAATGATGTAAATAATTTGAATTTCGGATTAACATAAAACTACATACTATCAATTACTGAATGCAAATTTGTCAAAAATCTAGGCCTATACATGAATTGAGATACGTACGTACAGTATACCCAAATTATATAATATGCGAACATTTATTATACCGATCAAACTAACTCGGCTTGAACGTGCCAAGTCGTTACTATATATACACCGTTCCACTGCATATTTTCAATTTTTTCACCGTTCCACTGCATATTTTCAATTTTATTTTCAACTTGCTTTTCTTGTCAAAAATAACTATTCGTACACTCTACGGGACGATCTAATTCCAAAAGATCTTGAAGCAATCTGTATTGAATTAACGCTACGTATG